CCAGGTATGGTGACACACACCTTTAATCCCAGTACTGGGAGACAGAGGCAGGCAGATATCTGAATTCAAAACCAACCTGGTCTATGGAGGAGCTGGGACAGTCAAAGCTAAGTAGAGAAAACTTGTCTTGAGAATAAAAGAGGAAAGGAAAGGAGAGGAGAGGGGAAGGGAGAGGAGAGGAGAAGGGACAGGGGAGGGGGAGAGGGGAGGAAGGGAGGCGAGGAGGGGAAGGGGAAAGGGGAAAGGAGGAAGGAAAGGAACTGGCCAGGTATGATGGCACATGACTTTAAACCCTCAACTAAGGAGGCAGAGGCAGAGGATCTCTGCTGTGAGTTTGAAGCCAGCCTGATGTACACAGGGAGTTGCAGGGCAGCCAGGGCTATACATTAAGACCCTGTCAGCTGCCTGTGGGGAGGGGCAAAGGGGAATGGCAATATGACTGGGAAGTGAGAAACAAACATTCAGGTACCTCTGGTGTCTTGCCCGTATTTGATTTCTCAGCCTTATAATTATAAGTATTGTGAGTGTTATTATAAGTATTATGAGTATTCTTAAACTATACTTAATACATATTTCTTTGAAATTCCATTATCTCATTACTTTTACAAAATAAATAATTAGACTAAAATTGTAATGGATTCTAAACTGAGTTATTGAAGCAGCTGAACTGGGAATATTTACCTAAGTATTCTTTTGAGTTTTTTTAAAGATTTTATTTCTACCTGTGTATATGGGGAAGGAGATGTGTGTGAGTGCAGTGTGGCAAAGGCCAGAGGTGTTGGTCCCCCTTGAACTGCGGTTACTACAGGCAGCTGTGAACGGCCTGACAAGGGCAGTGGGAACTCAACCCAGTTCTACTAAAGAACAGTGCACATTCTTAATCACTGAGCCATCTCTCCAGGCCTCATGCTTACTGCTTTCAAAACATTACAGGGACCTTCAAAGACAGCTCCCATCAGACAGCCAGTGCCAATTCAAAATTGAAATACTTACAGCAAATTGGACATCCATCCAAGTGCCACCTGTACTCTGGAAAAAATTACCCTCAATGGGGAGAGTAAAATTTTCTTAATCGAGGGAATTCCTCCAAAATATGTTCTCATCAGGGATCAGAACTAAACCAGCTGCAGTATCACAGACACCTCCTATCACTAGAACCACTTTTCTTCTTTCGGAATTTAATGAAATGTTTGGGATTTACGTACAGCCTAGGCTAGGGAAGTATTTCAACAACCCTACTATTACAGCACTCTGCCTCAGAAATGGCACTAAGCCAAGAGCCAGAGGCCTGCATTCCCTCACTCTTCCTCTGTCACTGCTGAGCTAACCAGGGTGGTGGAAAGGGTGGTAACCCTGTTGGAGAGAGACGGAAAAGGCCATGGCAAAAGAGCACACAGATGTGTCTCAAAGTGGAAAGAGCATTGAGAGGGTCCGGCCTCAACAGTGTACACCAACCAGAGACCCTGAAAGAGCACCTGTGAAAATCAGAAAAGCACAAAAGACAAATTAACAATTAGATTGACAACTCTGACAATGGACGACAGAAATCAGTAGGATGCCACTTTTAGAAAAGCTGAGAAAGCCCTAAAAATATAAAACATATGCTCTGAGGTGTACATGAAGTAACTATGGAAACACACCTACAACAGTCTCTAGGTACCACCCATCAGACTGATGAGAAGAAAATATTCCTAAATACCCACACAGAAGGAGATCCCACCAATCTCTCATCAGGGAGAGAGAGCTGGGATATCTGAAGGCCTGTCTGTATGCGAATGCAGACATAAGACTCGTGTGATAATTGAATGCAGAGGTAATAAGACCCTGCAACAGTGGGAGAAATGAAAAATAAAAAAATCAAATGCAAATTTACGTTATTAAAACAGAAAGCTAGCAATAATTATCAAGTAACAAAGAATGTTTTTTAATGTATGTGTTATGTATAAAAATTCTTATACTGATGGAAATTTAAAATAATATATACCAAATTGTGCATCTAATGCTTGGAAAAATACAGGAAAGCAAGAATATTATTATATTTCCATGTTTCATTTTTTTGTTTGAGCTTTTTGCTTTTTACAGTGTAGATATATTTTTTAATATAATATAAATAACATGTAAAACTAAAGATCTAAAAGAAGAAAATTAGGGGCTGGAGAGATGGCTCAGTGGTTAAGAGCACTTGACCGCTCTTCCTAGAGGTCCTGAGTTCAATTCCCAGCAACCACATGGTAGCTCACAACCATCTGTAATGGGCTACAAATTCCTTCTGCTTCTTTAAAAAAAGAAAGAAAGAAAGAAAATTAGCTTCCTGGAGTAGATGTCATTTAGCCCTAGTAGTTTTCTGTAGCTTTAATTAGCCTTTCAAATAGTCACCAATGGTCTTAACTTGCTTCTACTACACAAAACATCCAGTAGTATTCAGGAGATCTAAGAAGAAAGCTTCTGCAAAGAAAATTCCCTAGTGTTCATTAGACCTGAACAATATGCTAGATCACCTGTGGCAATTTTAGCTTAGTAACCTGTGTGAGTGAGTGTATACCTGGGTAACCTGTGTGTGGTGTTGTGTGTGTGTTGAGTGTGTGTGCCACCTGAATGCTGATGCCCACAGAGGTAAGAGGGTACCAGATCTCCTACATCAGGGTTATGGGTGGCTAGAGCCACTTGCTGTGGGTGCTGGAAACAGAAGTGTCCTGTAGGAGCTGCCCATGCTCTAAACTCATGAACACCTCTCTAGCCCCCTTGGAAAATGTTTACATATAAAGGCTAAAAAAAAAATGCCAGGTAGTGGTGACACACACCTTTAATTACAGTACTTGGAAAGCAGAGGAGGTGGATCTCTGTGAGTTTGAGGCCAGCCACGTTACTGCCAGGACACCAGGACTACACAAAGAAACCCTGTCTTGAAGGGAAAAAAAAGCTAAAAAGATAAGAGCAGAGGGTATAACACTTGTTGCCACACAATGACTGACCGCCAGTTTCAGCCCAAAACGGACAGAACCAACTCCCAAAAGCTGTCCCTGACCTCCACAAGTGTCATAGCACACACATACACAAACATTAAATTTTGCACAAAATAGTTAATGTATACCTATAATTTATATAACACAGATCATAGGAAAAAGCAGTCTGGGGCCAGCGAAATAGTTCTGAAGGTAAAGGCACTTGCCAACAAGCTCGATGACCTGAGTTCGATCTTCAGGTTCCACAAGACAAAAGGAGACAACTGACTCCTGCAAGCTGGCCTCTGACTTCCACACATGAGCTACAGAATAAGCATGCCCCACCACCATACAAATAAATAAGTATAATTTTTACCCTTATGCCCTAAGTCATTTTATTAAAGTAACCATTGTTTAACATTCTAATATATAGCTTTACATAACATTTAAAACATTCAAAAGCCAGGAGTGTTAGCATATACCCACAATCTCAAAACTTAGGAATCAGAGACAGAAAGATCAGACATTCAAGGTCATCTTTAGCTACAGAGCAAGTTACAATATGAACTAAACAAAATCAGTCTCCAAAGCCATAACACAACAAAAATTAGACACTATCAATGGCTTTGGTTCTGTTTTGTTTCCATAAAATAACCAGATGTGGCTGAGGAGATAGTTCAGCTGGTAAAATGCTTGCCATACAAACATGAGGACCTTAGTTCAGGTCCCCAGTCAAGTATGATGGTGTCTACTTATAACACCAGAGCTGGGAAGGCAGAGACATGTGGGTTCCTGGAGTTGCCAGCCAGCCAATCTAGCCAATCAGTGAGCTCCAGATTCAGTGAGAGCCTCTGCCTCAAAAAACTAGAGAGTGACAGAAAAAAGATACCCAGTGTTGAGATTTATTCATTTAGCTGCAAAACCTTTTTTGTTTGTTTGTTTGTTTGTTTAACCTATATGAAATAGTTTCATTTGGGTTTTTCAAATATTTTTGGTTTTTTCTGAGTGAAACCAACAGGAAGGCTATTTACTCTAAAGCAGCTGTGAGTCATAAAGACAACAGAACAGGCCAGAACAGGTTACTATAGGCTGACAGGTTTTTGTCTTTATGATTTTTTGTTTTATTTTTACATTGCATCTTTCTAAGACACTAATATATCAATTTAGTTTAAAAATATCAGTCAAACTAAAGTCTAAGAAGATGTTACATACTCCCAGGACATGCCAAATCAGTGCCTTGAGAAATACCATCAGACTAGAGGGGGTGTCTCCCCAATTTTGCAGAGGGTTGAGTCATATTATAAACTAGTGCCTCAACAGTACTGACAGAAATTAGATCATGTGACCTATGAAATCATGGTGTACCCACCCTGATCACAGGAAATCTTGGTGCCTAAGAAACAGCCACTTTTCTGGTCTGATCTAATCTTTGTGATATGCAGGACAGACCCTTCACCAGAGCCCCAGAAATAATCCATCAAAAGTCTCAAGGCATAAGGACCCTGTAATAAGCTTTTGCTTCCCAAGCACTTCCTTAATCTATTGTCTTTTACCCTAGTTCTAAAGTTTGTTTTCTTCGTAGGAGTACACACCATCCCTCAGATTGTTTATTAATTATGATCCCTACTTCATCATTGTCTAAAACCCAAATCTAAAAGAACTGAATGTAAAAGAGACCGTCTAGTAAAACCATCTAGCATCTGTTACTATTACCCATTATTCTGCCCAACCACCACAATCTACTCAACAATGCACTTCTCTTTTGTCTATGGCTTTTTTTTTTTTTTTTTTTTAAGAAATTGTCCAGTAAAAGGCAATGAAGAAAACACGTTCAGATCAACATCTTACCTTTGAAATTGTCCATAGTTAAAAAAAAGAGAGAGAGAGAGAGTTTTGCTGCCACGAATATGGCTGTTTCATAGTTTTAACACAATTAAAATAAACTAGATAAAATGAACATATAGGCTAACCCCTGTCAGCCATATGTTTTCTTTTAATATAACAGAATGGGATTATCACTTATTTTCCCTAAAAGCTGATGGCTACTGTTGGACATACCTCCAGCTCTTTAATTTTTTCTTCTGCTATTTTCTGTTTTTCTAACAGCTGGTTGTGAATCACTTCCTTGGATTGTAGAATAAACCTAGAAAACAAAAAGGTTGAAAATTAAACCTCATGGCCACTGTATTCAAAATCAATAGTTAGATGTCACAAATATTAACAAGACAATTAAAAGGATAAGCTCTAGATTCAGAACAAAACAAAACCCTGTTACATTAAATACTTTGGAAACCACAATGGTTTTTACAATTTCTTGGCCAAGGAAAAATACAGGGTTAAAAGTACATTCTGCTTTCTTACTTAAAAGACAATCTTGACATTGAAAACATTTACAGATAGGAAAAAAAAATGACAAAAGCATTATATATATATATATATATATATATATATATATATATATATATATGCTAACATATAAGCTACCAAAGTCTCCAGCAGCTCTGAGCTGTCTAACCCTGTGCAGACTTTCTAAAGCAGTGTCTGTAAATGCAGCGTCCTTCCATCCTTATGGTTCTTTGTAACAGCAGAAACTCACGACCTTTTAAAGTCACAATCAAGTACTGTGTTAAGATCAATGCCTTAGTGTTTACATGAGCGCCTCACACTAAGGCACTGTATAAGCCCTAGTGTCTTTTATTATTATTCCCAGAGTGTGTAGTACCTTTGAAAAGCTCAAAATGCACAAACAGAAAATTTCAACTTTTTCCATTTCATAGTCAGGAGCTGCTGTTGAGCTGCTTTATATATTAACACTGAATTTGTTTTGTGGCATTAAGTTCTTAATTCTTGCTTGGGGAAAGGAAGAAAAACCATTTCACTGCCTCAAGTGAGAGCTGAATGAAGTATTTCTCTTCTGCTGGAACCACGGAAAAGCCCCAATTACTCAAACCGCTTTCAGGATTGTCTAACTAGGCTGAAATAGATCTCAAGTAGCAGCTGCAGTTACTAAGGAACACATTTCACCCTTTGCACTTAAGGATTCAGCAGCAAAGAATTAAACATTACCTTTTTAACAAAAAAGCCAAACAAATCAAGGTCACCATATGTAATTTTCTCTGCCAACTTCAAAGAAACTCCACTGTGCCTAAGTGGGACCTTACTTGGATGGATACTGGACAAGTTAAAAGGAGACCACCAGGGCAACTTGAGACTTGACACCCGAGAAAAAACTTTTTTTCTCCTTCTTGAATACACCTTATCATACATATTAATACAATCCCACAAACTCTTTATCCTGTCACTAATTGTTAAACTTTATCCTTGATGTCAATTGCCAGTATATCTTTTTTTTTAAAGATTTATTTTACTTTTATGTGTATGAGCATTTTACCTGGGTATATCTGTGTGCGCTACATGTGTGCCTGGCATCCATGCAGGTCACAAGAGGAGACTGGATGCCCTGAAACTGAAGTCTAAAAAGGTAGTGAGCTACCAGGTGGGTGCTGGGAAATGAACCAGGGTCCTCTATAAGAGCAGTAAGTGCTCTTTAATGGCTGAATCATCTCTCCAGCCCCTAGTCCAGCCATCTTAACTATGACTGTTTACTATGTCCCAGAAAGATTGTTCACACCCATAAAAATTAATTAATTGTATTTTTCCCCTATAGAACCCATCATATTTAAACGTTCTTACTGGGTCCAAGAGACAAGTGCTATTTCAGATAAGACTGCGTCACACTGAGGATTTTTCCTCTTTCACAGTCAGGTAATGTAATTAAAGAAGAGCTGCTCTGAGCTGCATTGGCTGCTAGGACCAAGACATGAAAAGCATCACACAAGACATGGTCCAGGAGCTGACAATTACACCATTCATGCACCATTTTGCTGATAAAGTCATTTAGGCATGGAAGTAATTTTCAAAGTAAAATACAAATTTTCAAATAGAACTAGTTGCCTACCACTGAGTAATATTCTCAACTGATAGGTCTGAGAGACTTTCAAGGCTAAGATTAGAGGTCATTATTTTATGTGGCCTTTAAAAAGAAAGTTATCTGAACAGATACTAAATCCCTTGAGCAGAAAATAAAGTCACTAGAAAGCAAGAATAGTAAACAACAGAAACATGTCCATGGCCACACATACCTAAGGTTGCTATATTAGCCAGGCCAACTTCACAGGCCAGAGCCAGTCAATTTACTACTATGAGCCTAAAACATCTCAGTCATCCAGATTTTAGACAAGATGAGAATTTTATAAGCCCAAATGTTTACCTAAAAGGGTTATTACATACAAAATTCAAATACAAAATGCATGGAAAGTTGTTTGAGGCCTCAATTCAAGAAGTGGCACAGATACTCTACACAGCTATTGGAAAGACTTCCAAAAGGCTAGGACTTCTGAGAAGTCCCTGGGAAATAATTTATCTATGACCTAAGAGGCAGTGAATAGTTTGGAGACAATGTATCTTATTATTGCAATGTGTCTTATTATCACAAGTATTAAATACACAGTTTATAAAAGAGAATCTCACAGAGATCCTGCCTAATTGTTTCTATAGACAAATATATAATAAAGATTCTGGAGTTGAGGCTGGGGAGTGGTAAACACCTTTAATCCCAGCACTCAGGAGGCAGAGTCAGGCAGATCTGAGTTTAAGGGCAGCTTGGTCTACAGAGTAAATTCCAGGACGACCAGGGCTACACAAGAGAAACCCTGTCTCAAAAAAAACCCAAAAGATCCTGGAGCTGAAATACACCAAAAAGGGGGTGGTAGGGTTAGAAAAGAAAAGGGAAAGAGTTATCCTGTGTCAAATGATGAGAGCAGCTGGGATTACATGACCTGTATTCGAGTCACTGTTTTCACCTGAAGCCAATGCTCTGTGGCTCTGCAAAGCCAACTCTCAAAAACTTGTGATCTGTTGCATTAATTCCTCACTTATTTGCGATTATGTCACCTGCAAAACACATTTCTTTAACCTCCCTTCTCTAAGAGGGTCACAACAGGCTATAAAAATACATCATACTACAAGGTTGACAAGTTTCACTTTGTTGTTGTTGAGACAGTTTCTTCTGTGTAGCCCTGGCTGTCCTGGAACTAGCTCTGTAGACCAGGCTGACCTTGAACTTAGAGATCCACCTGCCTCTGCCTTCCACACCCACCCTGAGTTTCACTTTCCTATAACTCTGCATGGATTATAAGTATTATGCACCTCCCAGAAATACAATTCCAACCTATGCCAATGTTGTCTACTGGGTACACTTCCAATGTATGGTCACCTGGATATACACCATTCAAAAACAAAATGCTCACAACATTGACTTTGTTTGCATGGAGTAGCTTAAAAACTCTTGGCATTTCATTTTCAGTAGCACAGAAAAAGCTGATTAAGAATGAACCTAACTCAACTAGACAAGGTGGTGCACACCTGTAGAAGCAGGAGGATTAGGATTTCAGGGTAATCCCCAGCTACAGAGCAAGTTGGAGGCCAGGCTTGGCTGCTTGGGACCCCACCACAAAGCAGAAACTAGGCTTTAGACTGAATGACCCTGTGGATTTTAGAGGCCTTGAGCATTTTCACTGACATAAAAACAGGAAACAGGCAACAGGTAAGAAACAGGTCTACCTGAGGCTGCACCTAGAAGAATCTTCTATTCAAAGCAAATTCCCAAAGCCTCCATGTTTGGCCTAAGAATACTGAAAAAAATTAACTCACTTCTTTGTAAGATACAATAAAACTACCTTAGAAATGAGTAGAATAACCAGTAAAAATTGTCTTTTAAGAATATATAATCAAGCCAGGCATAGTGGCACATGATTTTAATCCTAGTACTTGGGCAGCAAAAGCAGGCAGATCTCTGTAAGCTTGAGGCTAGCCTGGTCTACATGGTAAATTCCAGGACAGCCAGAGCTCACAGTGAGATCCTCCCTCAAAACAAGCAAACAAAACAAACAAATAAAAAAGAATACATAACCAGGAGCTGGAGCAACAGCTCAGAGGTTAATCAGTGCTCTTCTAGTGCTCTTCTAATGAGTCACAACCATCTGCAACTCCAGTTTCAGTGAGTGGGTGTGGTGCCCTCTTTCAAACTGAGCACCAGACATGCACCTGTATTGCAGTTAAATAAGGATCAGTCGTACTCCTTACACACCTGCACACATACATACATGTAGGCCAAACACTCATACACATAAAATAATCTACACACACACACACACACACACACACACACACACACACACGCTGGACAGATGGTTCAGCCATGAAGACATCATATCATTCTTGCCAAGAACCTGAGTTTGATTCTCAGCATCCAAGTCAAATAGCTTACTAGCACCTGAAAGTGCAGCTCAGGATCCAATACTTCCGGCCTCTGACACATGTGTACAAAACCCCCATAGACACACATACACGAAATTTAAAGTAGTAAAAATTAATCTAAGCTGGACCGTGGTGGTACATGCCCTTAGTCCCAACACTTGGGAGGCAAAGGCAGGGAGATCTCTGAGTTTGAACCAGCCTGGTCTACAGAGAGAGTTCCCAGAACAGCCAGGGCAACACAGAGAAACCCTGTCTCAAAAAACAAACAACAACAACAAAATCAATATATATATATTATATATGTAGTATTATAATATAGATATATTATATGTATAGTATTATAATACAGATATTATGTGTGTGTATATATATATATATATGTATGTATATCTTTTTGTGGTGGTAGTGGTGGAAAAAAAATCTTAAGAAAAAAAAAATGTGGGGAACAAGTATGCCTCTGTGTGAACAAGCATTCATGGCATGAGCACAGCCATATCAAGGATGCCAGTGCCTCAGAGTCATTGGAAGGGCAAGGCTTCCACTGGACCAAATATGAATGCTGAAGAATGGACAATCTTTAGCTAAAAACAGTATCAACAAAAACTGTCAACCTCTGTTTCCTCCTCTTGAATGGCTGCATGATCAAGCCCCTAACACTCCCCAACAGAGACCCCTACCAAGACCAGATAGCCTATCTCCTTCTTCATGGTATACATAATAAATACACTTAGTACCCAGCTGTTGGTGCACCTCCGAGTGCACACCCACCCAATCCCAGCTTTACATTACTTGTGCCTGTCTTTCTTAATCTCCCTTTGCTCCCAC